CCATATTCATGCCCATTCCAAAGAAAGGTGATCCAACAGAATGAGGAAATTATCAAACAATATCATTAATATCACATGCAAGTAAAATTTTGCTGAAGGTAATTAAAAAACGATTGCAGCAGTACATCGACAAGGAACTGCCAGAACAGTTTTCATAACAAATTATGGATAACACTGCAATGAATGGGAATTCTAGAATACTTAATTGTGCTCATACAGAACCTGTACACAGACCAAGAGGCAGTTGTTCAAACAGAACAAGGGGATATTGTATGGTTTAAAATCAGGAAAGGTGTGCATCAGCACTGTATTCTTTCACCATACTTATTCAATTTGTATGCTGAGCAGATAATCTGAGAAACTGGACTACGTGAAGAAGAACCTGGCATCAGGATTAGAGAAAGTCTCATTAACAACCTGCAATATGCAGATGACACAACCTTGCTCACTGAAAGTGAAGAGGACTTGAAGCACTTGCTGATGAAGATCAAAGACTACAGCCTTCAGTATGCATTACACCTCAATATAAAGAAAACAAAAATCCTCACAACTAAACCAGTTATGATAAATGGAGAGAAAATATTGACATTGTCAAGGATTTTATTTTATTTGGATCAACAATCTACACCCATGGAAGGAGTGGTCAAGAAATTAAATGACACATTGCATTGGGCAAATCTACTGTAAAAGACTGTTAAAATGTTAAGAAGCAAAAATACCACCTCGAGGACTAAGGTGCGCCTGACCCAAGCCATGGTATTTTCAATCACCTCATATGCATGTGAAAGCTGGACAATGAATAAGGAAGACCAAAGAATTGATGCCTCTGAATTACGGTGTTGGTGAAGAATATTGAATATACCATGGACTGCCAGAAGAAGGAACAAATCTGTCTTGGAAGAAGTACAGTCAGAATGTTCCTTGGAAGCGAGGATGGCAAGACTTCATCTCATGTACTTTGGATATGTTATCAGGAGGGACCAGTCCCTGGAGAAGGACATCATCTTTGGTAAAGTAGAGGGTCAGCAAAAAAAAAAGGAAGACCCTCAATGAGATGGATTGACACAGTGGCTGCAACAATGGGCTCAAACATACCTACTATTGCAAAGGTGGCGCAGGACTGGGTAATGTTTCATTCTGTTGTACATAGGGTTGCTATGAGTCGGAACTGACTAGAGGGCATCTAACAACACAACAATCTTTGGGGAAGCAGATCACCAGTCCTGTCCTCCATGGTGCCACTGGGTGGGTTCAGATCACCAACCTTCCTTCAGGTTAGTAGTCAAGTGCAGACTGGGACTTTCTCTGTGAAAGGAAGACCTGCCTTTTTCTTGTCTGTGGGGCTGCACCCAAGCAAAGGATGGTACAAAATCTATGGTAGTGCTGCTGTGAGGACAGAAGACACCAACACCAGGGACAGGGAGCCCCAAGGGGGCAGTGCTGGCCAGAGGAGATCCATGGTGTGGAGGGGTGTGCTGGAGGAGTACTGAGAATGCTGGTGGCTGAGACTGCCTGCTGGGAAAGGGGCACTATCTTTGACCTCCAGAGGTGGCAGCCTGTGTTCAGACCCAGCTACCAGCCCCATCGGCACTTAATGACTGTGATCTTGGGCAAATTCCTTAACTGAGGCAAGTGCCTCAGTTTCCTCAACTGTAAAGTGGGACTAGTGCTGCCCCATGTTGTATACAAAGTGCCTGGTATGTAGGAGGAACTTGATGAAGGGGCCCTCGTAGCACAGCGGTTAAGTGCTCGGCTCCTAACCGAAAGGTCAGCTTTTTGAACCTACCAGTCACTTTGTGGGAGAAAGATGTGGCAGTCTACTTCCATAAACGTTACAGCCTTGGAAACCATTGGGGCAGTTCTACTCTGTCTTACAGAGTTGCTATAAGTCTGAATTGACTCGATGGCAATAGCTGTTTTTTTTTTTTTTTTTTTTTGGTTATTGTTGTTGGGACTCATATCCTACTGGAAAAACACCTTCAGGAAAGCTAACCTCTGAAAGGACAAACACATCTCAGGCCCTCTCCCAGCTTCGGTAAAGAGCACAGCACACTCCAAGCTGCTTCATTTCAGCTGAATTTTATTTGTCGGATTTTTGACAGACATCTAAATTATACATTGAGTTTTCCACATGACCAAACACCACATCCCTTCCTTTGATTATCATTTTCAAAAGGGACTGTAAAAAAAGAACCTTTCGATGGATCAGACTGAACCCTGAAACCACATGGAGCGCAGAGCTAAAAATAAAAGGAACTAAGCACTGGTCCCTGAGAAGGGAAGGAAAGAGAAATCAAAGCAAACTCTGACAGGAATTCAGGGACGAGTCCTGGCGAGGGTGACATGGTGTCACCCTCCAGGCCAGGCCGGATAAGGAGCGGCTGACAGTGAGGGTGGGGCACAGAGTGGCATAAAAATAGCCACCACTTTAGCCCAGAGGGGAATAAAGAAATTTGTTAAAAAGTCAGGAGGGAGAGCAGTGGAGACCAGGGAGGCAGGAAAGGGGGCAGTGCTGCGTCCTCCCAGCTGCGGTGGGAGCTGTGGGCTCCTTTGACCCTGGCATAACGCTTCTAACCGCCGGCATAATCGCTGACTTTCAGCTGTGCACCAACATGTTCCCCAGCTCAGCCCACATCAATGACACCCTTGTTTCCATAGTAACCAAGGGAGAGTGAAGGGGAAAGGGTGTGCTGCACTGGGCGCAGGGAATCCAGCCCAAAGGAGCTGCGTGGGGTCGGGAGGAGCCGGCAGGGAGCAGGGGAGGGGAAGGAGTCGTTTTTCCCACAACTGGTTTGAGCACAACATCACAGGCCCTGTCCCAGGCCTTGCCTGCCCTCTGGCCCCCAACCTCCCGCCTCCCACACTCACATGCAATCGTGCGCAGGGCGAAAGTCTTACCGAGACTTGACTTATTGGGGGTGGGAGGGAGGATGGGGAAAGGGTTATCTCCTTTCTAGCTTCAAGTTCTGTCTTCTGGTCGTGGCCACAGGGGGTGGGGGTGGGACTGGGGAGAGGAAAAGGGACTTAAAAGCATTTTGTTTTTACAAATGGGAGCTTTCAAACTCTGCATTTTTCAGGCTTCTCTCATCTGCCCCCTGAGCCCCGGGAGGGGTTCAATAGGGCTCCAAGGGAAGATGAAAGCTTGTGACATCCACAATGTCTTTGTGTCTCTTTCGCTGAAAAGCAAATCTGAACATGTTCAGAGGCTGTTAGCAGAGGAGGGCAAGTGGCTTCTGCCCACTAGCTGAGGTCTGGGGAGGGCTCTTTAAAACAGTTCCCTAAGTTGGTGGTAAAAGAACAAAAATCTTTTATACACTAGCCACTGCCACAGTCAAAGTTGCACACTGCAGTGTTCCCAAACTGCAGACCTCCAGGCAGGCATTTCGCCCCTCAGATAGCATCCCTGGGTCATTATATTGAGGGAAAAGCAATTTTCAAGTGCTAGAGTCCAATATGCAGTCTGGTAGAAGGGGGGTTTCTCATTCCCTATAATTCAGTTTTGCCCCTGTTCAAAGCTAGGGAGGAGCCCGGCTGAGCCTGAGAAGCCAGTAGAGGATACAGGGAGCTACTAGTTCAGTGGTTTAAGAACCTCACCTTTTGTTTTACAAGTCCTTACTGGTCTGTCCACAGCAACTCCAGGGCACCTTTTCATGTCTGGCTTTGTGAATGACCTTCACCCCAGACCACCTTTGAAAATGGCCATGCTTCAGTCCCACCCGCAGGACTCTTGTCCAGAAAAAGCTGGCTCCGAGGGCCAGGGGCTGGAGAGGCTGAAGTGGTCTGCTCACGTGCCTTGGTGGGCTTTGGCAGGGCTAACTCCCAGGATGAGAAGGCAGCTGGCCTCCTGGGCCCCGCCAGGCACTGGACAGTCTCTTAATCATTCTCTGAAAACCTCTGCACTAGGGCACCAGAACAGGGTTTAATTCAGGAGCCAGGGGATGCTCTGGCTTGCTTTCCCATGTTTGAAGCTGGGGATTTCTTTAGATTCAGGGAAACAAGCTCCTTTTGCAACACGGGGCAGAAGTCTCTGCCATTCCTTTCCAACAGAGGACATATTTTGCTGGAGAGAGGCAGAGGGGGCCAGCAGCCGGGGTGACTCTGGCTCCCTGGACATGACCCCTGGCCTCATACACACCCCCATTGTCTCCAGCAGCAAACCCTCTCTACCGGGGTTCAACACACCCAACAAAGTTGCCAGCTCTGTAAAAATTGATCTCTTCTAAAAATCGATCTGCCTGGCTTTTCTCGAAAGAGCAGGTTCATGGTAAAGCTGCATTTATTTTTAAAATCTGATAGCGGCAGCCTATTGTGATCATTTAAACACAGAATTCTTTGAGCTTTAGAAATCCCTTCTATAGGACGGCCTGGAGAAGGCAGCTAATCTCAGCCTCGGCTGCTCCCTGCTTCACTGAACTGGAGAAAGCCTGTTTACGCTAGACTGAGCCCTCCATGTGAGAGGGCTTTTTAAGGACCTTGTAATTTTTCTGGAATTAAACCTCCCACCTCTCCTTACATTCCAGATGTCATTACAGTCAAAAGTCATAAGAATTTGCTTCCCTGTGTGGTGGGTTGAGGGGGCTGGGGCTGGAGTATAGTTCTGTAGTGACTTGTTTGCAAGAAAGGATTCTCCCCGCCCTGTCCAAAGGGTGAGGATTACATACACAGTCTGCTACCTGCATGACAAGATGGTTTAATCATCTGCTATTCCTCCCCTCCCCCACCAGCAGCTTCACACTGGATGGACTGAAGCCCAGCTCACCTGGTGATGGTAAAAATCACCAAGCAGCACGGGCAAACATGTCTGTGGTTTCAAAGCCACAGGGGGAATGTAAGGGACAGGTCAGTAAATAAATGAACTCTGCTTCCTCTTTTTCTCTCCTTTTTTTTTTTTGAAAGAAAAAAAGCCTGCTGGAATTGTCTAAACTGCAATGCAATCTCTTGCTCATTTAAAAGATCTCATTTTCTAATCATGTGCTTTGAGACATTTAATACTATTTCAATTATGCAGAGGAAATACTATAATTCCTTTATTTGAAAAATGATACTGAACCTCAGAGATCAGTTAAACCTACTGCTGGAATGGGGATTCTCTTTAAACTGTGCTGTTCCTTCTCTTCAAACAGCTGTAGCTGTACACAGATGGAAAAACATTTGGTCAGAAAGCAGCAAATTAGTGTTTTTCAGGGCAGAATTCGGCTCCTGCAGCTCCTACGTCTCCATTCGTCTAGATTTTATTTCTTCTTTGCATTGACATTTTTGCAGACCCAGTTCATGCCGTCCTTGCGGGGGAAGGGGCAGAGAAAGGCAGTGTTAGTTGTAGGAAAGGCACATGCTTGAGCCTCCCTCCAGGGCCACCAGCTCTAGGGAGTTTTTGGGCTTGAGGGCCCCACCTGGGTGACAAGGAGAAGGGAGCTGTGGGGGAGAGTGCCCAGTGTCTGAACCTGAGATGGGTCCTCAGAAACACCCTCTGAAAAAATAAACACATCTGCCTGGATCCAAGGCCGGACTAAGGAGCTATCAGGAAGATTCCAGCCATTTTTGGCTTTTTCTAAAAGCTGACCTTTGCTGGGGCATTAAATTCAATAAGCCACCCTTCTGGTGGCCTGGTGTGTTTACAGTGTGACAGTGTACACTTGGGGTTAAATTAAATTTCTTCTTGGAAAAACAAACCAACCGCAGTGTGTGTTACTAGACACACACTGAGCAATGTGCATTTATCCCTCTTTGAGCAGAGCAGCACTACAGATCCCTCTAAGAGGGCCTAGCCGGGCTCTTGTAGCTTTAAGCAGAGGGAACTGCGGAGAAGGTTCCCTTAAAGGCACAGTGACCTTGAAAGTGTCCTCTCCTAGAAGGCTGGAGAGGGACAGAGGTAAAAACCACACAATGCCTACAGCCACCTGGCAGGTGGCATGCTTTCTCCTGATGCCAGGCCTGTCAGCAATGACCTCCTTTTCAACCTCCTTTGGAGCCACACCTGAATGCTCTCCCTGTCCCCAGAGTCCTCCCCCCTGCCACCTTCAGGGGTAGCAGGGTAGCTTCAGAAGCCCAGAATAGAACCAGAGTCCCTTCCTTCACATCTGCAACACATGTTCGCCGAGGCCCCGGTTGGACTTGCACATGTCAAAGAGTCCATGACATGCGGAGTCCCACATTCCCTGTGACCACGAAGCGAGCTGCTGAACCAGAACAGCTGAGACAGCTTAAAGTAATAAATATCAGCTGACAGCCTTGGCCATTCGGAACATTAATCCCATAAACAATACATCACTGCATAACAACCAGCAGGCACTCTATCTCCTGGCTAATCTCACCATAACCTGAATTTACAGTGATTAAAACTCCGCCAGTTGCCATCAGAATACTTGGGCGGGAGACAGATAATCTGACAGCTGTCCCAGAGTGGACCCTATGACATTTGCCAAGATGAGGCTGGCTGTGGCCGAAAGCCCAAAGGTGGAGAGCACCTGGCAGCGGTGGGGGAAAGGGTGAGGAATGCCAAGGTGGGAGAAAGGCGGACTCCACATGCATCTCCAATTACATCTGGGTCAGCTACTTGCTCTGAAAAGCTGAGGCCAATTTTAAGACCACTTTATGAAAAGGATTAATTTAAAGAGGAGCATGTTTAATTTTAATAGCTAATTGGTTTCCAGGAAAAAAACGATCCCCTGCCAGGAGACAAAAAAGATTTTACAAATAAAAGAGGGATGAATAAGATAGCCATCTTCTCTTTGCCTGTGAAGCTGAATAGCTCAGCACTTAAGTGGCACTTCTCATCTTCAGGAACCCACACAAACACCATCAAAGGTGCACACCTCAATATTTTCTCCTTTAAGAAGATTCGCACTATTTTATCAAACCAGCTTCTCGGAGAAATCAACAACAGTGTTCCCACACTACATGAATACCATCTTTTTTTTGTTTCATAGCTGATTATGGAGGGAGGTTTTCCTTCATTATATGTAATGGAACATGAATGCAAGCAAAGAGATAGGAAAAATATTTACTCAGCTGCAGGAACCCACAGCAGAAGGTAAAGGGTGAGGGGTAGCTTTATCCTGGGTATCTGTTATGGAGGCAGAGGGGGGTTTAAACAGTGGAGCCCTGCTGAGGGGCAGTGTGTTTCTCCACATGTCTGTGAGCCTGCGGTGGCAGAGCCCTTCCAGGCTCAGTCTGGCCAACAGAGGGCGCTCAGAGGTCAGCACCCACCAGCGGCCATGTCAGCCCCTGGGCCTCTGCAGCTGCCGCCTGCAACCTGAAGGAGAAGTGTGGGAAGATGGAGAATTGATAGGGGGCTTGAGGAGGTCCCTCCTATCTGAAGTGCCCAGGGGCTCCTGGGGGGTTGTCCCTTTCTCGTTAGTATCCAGAGAACCTGAGCTGGGCGTGGGAGGTGGGAAGGTGGGCAGAGTCACAGGTCCTAATACTTCTTAAATCAGGGGCAAGCTTTGCCAAGTTGCCCACTGGAAAGGAAAGGCAATAGTGTTGTCCAAGATCCCTGAGGAGAGGACTTGCTTGAGGTTGTATTCATAGAACCTAGCATGGCATCTGGCCTACAGCAGATACTTAATTTTTATTTGTTAAATTAATAATAACAGCTAACACCTGAGGCCTCACTATGAGTCTAGCACAGTTTTAAGCACTTTGCACAAATTATTTAATCCTTACAACCCGGTGAAGTAGGTACTATTATTATTTCCATTTTACAGATAAGGAAATTGAAAGCACAGAAAGGTTAAATAATTCTCCCAAGGCCACCTACCTAAAAGTGGCAGAGGTGGGATATGAACCCAGGCAATCTAGATCCAGAATCCATGCTCTTTAACCATTTACCCTTTCTCCATGAGAAAGGGGGAAGAGCTCTGCCTCAAGCTTGAGGAGGAGCTGGGAATCACCCTGAAGTTGGGAAAGGCAGCAATTCCAGTTTTTTCTTCATTATGACTTTCTGTTGAATTACAGGGCATAGACTGGGGTAGCCCCACAGCCCAGCACCCTCCATGACTTGGCTGCAGCTCTGAAAGCTCCAGAGGCTGTGTCTGGCCACTCAACCTCAAGATTTCTGGGCTACTTGTGGAAGGCTGGCTGCTGGATCCCAGCATATTAACTACCCACCAGGACCACCGTCTCCAGTGGAAACTCTACATTTAGAGATGGCATGTGTAAAAGAAGGAACTTTTTACCTCTCCTCTTATGTTTAAATTAATGTTCCATACTACCCTTGCCTTATCTGGCAAGGTTTTGTTTTTTTTTTTAAACAGATGACTGAGAAAAGGTGATCTCTTACTTGAAATAGGTTACTGCTCTGACTCCAACAGAAGGAAATGAACTCATAGGTTTGTTTAATGGTTGAACCTTTATTGTTAAAAACTGGTTTGACCAATTTTCTGCACATTTGATCTTCATTATGGGGATGACAATCTTATGGTATGAATAGTTCTCCCTTTCTGCCCCACTCCACCTTCCCCTAGCCAATTGTGCTGAAACTGAATTTGAATTGATTAGCTTCAATTCAATAATAGAGACTAAAGAGAAACCTCAAATCTGAAACTCTGGGCTTTATTTGGCCTCACGAGGAGGAAATAAATTTTTACCATGTCACAATATCATTCCTTACTATAACCACTGGGAAAAATATAAGGCTGCCCGTAACCATATGGGTGGGAACCTACTAATGACAGATCTCTACCTTTCAGAATTGAAGGCACGATGCTTCCTTTATGGAAGGACTGGTCTCTTACTGCACTGCTCTTTTTAATCTGATCTTCCTACAATGCATCCATCACTGCTCTATGGTTGGAAGGAAGCAGTGGCAGCCATGGTTGGGTGGGCCTGGTTTTTAAAGCCATGAAGACTATGCGGTCACATCCGTAATCGCTTTAAGATGATGAGGAGCTCAGACCCTTGCTGAGCAATGTGGCCTATCCCATTGTGTCATTAGGCCCCCAGGGTCAAGGAGCAGCTGGATACAGCATATGTAAAATACTGCTTGTTAGTAATATTTTTTATGGGCACTGCACCAGAGGTAGCAAAACTGCATGTCCCGAACTTGCTTTCTTAGTCTACCAAAATGTTTGAAAATTTAAAAATAGGTGAGGTCTGACTTGCAGATAAGCAGTTCCATGCACATATGGAGACAATCGCAAGGGATGCCAAGCCTAGAAAGAAGTGGTAAATGTAATTTTTTTTTAATAATGAAATTCTGTTGGGATTTTAAGGGTAAAGTCCCCTAGGTCAAGGAAAAAGAAACAGAAACAAGAAACTGTGGGCAAGTGAATGTTCAATGTTCATCTGCAAGGCTGACTCTGAAGTCTAGCTCCCATATCAGTGTTTGGACTGCTAATGGTCCTTTCTAGGTAAGTGAGACCACTGTGAACTGGATCATTGCTCTTGTTGGTGGATGAAAGAGAAGCCATGTGGGATAGATGTAAAAAGAAAACGTGAGCAAGAGGTGGTGGCACGGAAAGCAGTACACAGGAGAGTTTCTGCTAGTTCACAGCTGCTGGTTTAGGCAGGTCTCTGTTATGACTAGGCTACAGACCAGGTTAAAATTGCTGATCTCTGCTTTGAAAGGCAATTCAAATCTAATACAATTTTAATTACACGCACATATACACACGATGTGTTAGAGAGAAAATGTCTTAAAACACCTGAAACTACAACAGCAAAGAGATCTGTGGTTTGGGGTTCAAATTCGGGTCTGTAATGGAAGAGGGACTGATTTCTCTGTACCTCTCTCTGGCTCTAAGCCAGATCCTTTGCTCACTATTTGCTAGGCACCCAAGTGAAAAGAAAAGAACACGAGTCCCTGGGCTAAATGTTAGATACTAGGAGAGGCCCTAGCAACCCTGGCCTGGCCACAAGGGCACAGAGGGAGACTTCCTCCATGTTTATAAGGGAGTCTGGCTGAGGAAGTTTTAGGTTATCCCTTGCAGACATTTTTCAGTTCTCTTCTTTCTGTCTTCATCTACTTGACATAATTGGGTCTCTTCTGATCACTGCTCTGGACTATGGGCCTCTCAGCAGGACAGAGCTTCCAAGATTGATGTTCTCCTTCAGCTTCTTGTGCCTTTTACCTATTCTGTGCTCTTGACAGTTTCCCATGAAAATCTGCTTTAATTATATGATGGGCCTGCCTCCTAGGCATCATCAATCAGGCAAAGAAAGACCCGTTCTGAACTCTCCAGAAGCCCTCAAAAGTCCATTTCTACAACCAGAACAGGGGCTGTTGAACAACACATGGTATTGCCTTTCCTTGTAAGGACTGCATATATTTGCCTGCAGAACATTAGGCGGAACAAAACCCTGAAATCCCAGGAATCAGAAGTCCCAGTCCACAGAGGGGCAGAACTCACCACTGAACTAATATGTGGCTCCTTCCATGGCTCACCCACCCACGGGTGCTTGTTATTTATCATTATGAGACAGGTCTCCTCAAACACATTTTGATTAAACACACACACAGTGTAAATAGAGACACTGTCTTTCAACACCCGAAACTGTAACAGAAATTCCAGGTCTTTTTTTTTCAGCCTCTGCACATTTTCTTTTAGGGTCATGTGAGCTGTGGTAACCAGATGTTATCTGACCCATTGGGTGTTGGATCATTTTGACAGCTTTGCCTATTATGGACCAACTTTTGGGGGGGGGGGTGGGAAGAGGGTGAAATAGGAGTTTAGGGAACTTTAGTATTTATTACCCATTATCTATGTCTGAAAGTGAACCCCAAACAATTAGTCCTATGGACAATTTCTGATGAAGTCTTTAATTTTTTTTAGGAACACTTTGAGCCTTAATTAATATGAATCATTAAAGGCCTGTACTTCAACTAAGCAAGCAGGAATTCCATTTAAGTGACTCTTTTTAAAGTGAAAACCAAGAAACTGGCTAAGTGGGCAAGAGCTTAGGTCAAGGTATTACCTGAGGGAGGGACACGGTCAATCAGTGTCTCACAGTGAAAAGGTTTCCACAGATAAACTCCACACCCTTTCTCCATTCCCCAAAGGTTACCATTAAAGGACAATAGATAGCAGATTCCCTTCTTAATTAACATTTTTATTAAATAACCCATTTCAAATAATGGTTAAATTCGCTAAATTTATATCACTCTATTAACCATAATCTAATCTCATTAACCTTGAAATCCCAGTCTTAACTACCCAATTCTATACACCATGGTACTATCTACTAAACTAGTTAAATGACCTTCAAACTATTTCTCCTCCATATAAAATCACTTTTTTTTTTTTGCTCATAATTCTTTGTTGGATTTCTTGTGATACCATTTCCTGTGAACTTCGTTGCTGAAGGTCCCTGATCTGAGAACTTTCTTATCGAAATCAAACCATACTTAATACTCTCACTTGATTCAAATTGGTTGATTTTAAAGCCCTCCCCTGCCTACCCGCTAACTGCCTGCAAGCTCACTGCCTCTTTTTTGGCCTGAAGATCCTGTGACTTAAAAAGCACTGCATTTCTACGGTAGTTACATAGCCAGGAACAGAGAGCTTTACTTCCCTAATCACAGCTGGACAGGGGTGGGTGGGATGGGGGTTGCGCAGAAAACAAGGGCTTCCTTCCTACCTCCAGGCCCCTCTGCAGCAGTGCCCTTGATTTTAATGCCACTACTCTAAATACCGATTCTAGATAACTCTAGTCCTTTTTTCTTACATCCCTGAGGCTGGCTGAAGAAACAAGAGCTTCACTGTTAATCCCAGCTTTGCTTTTTCTTCCTTTTGACACTCTGGCCAAATAAAAAAAGATTACAGAGCTATCAATTCCCACTTTCTTATGAGGAGATACCCAAAATGCATGTGTGTATTTATGTATTTATTTATATATAACCTTACCCTCATAGCGGTAACCTCAAGATGTTTTCTATTTTCTATATTTGTGTTCTAAACTAGAGGCAAAGTCCTCCTGCTGAAGTTGTTTATAGAAACACAAGAAAAAGCTATTCTCTTCTCCTGGGCCTCCTCCTCACAAAAAAAACCTTAGGCCTCATATGGAGTGGGCAAGAAGAAAGAACTTTTTACTATATATAATTTATAATTTAACTTCATATATTTTTATATGATTAACAGTGGGAATATATTACTTTTATAATAAGAATCTAGGAAGGAAGGAAGAAAGGGAGGTAGGACGGAGGAAGAAAGGAAAAAAAATAAGGCTTAAAAAAACTCTCCCAAACCTAAACCTCACAGAGACATACAGAGCTCCAGAATTCATTTTGGGGATGTAGATGAGGTAATCGTTGGCTAGTTAGGTGGCCCCCACAACACATACACATGCATGAAGGCTTCTGAGGGTGCAGGTGTTGAACAGTCTGGAAGGGGGGGCGCTTTTCTTGTGCCAACTGGTCTGCCTTCAGACTCAGAGCCCAAGCACAGAAGGAGGCCTGAGCTGCTTATGTAGCAAAAAGCAGAAAACCAAGCAGCAAACCCAGTGGAAAAACTGAGATAATTCTAGGAAGTGATTATTTGCTTGAGAAAAGTCATCAGGTAGCTTTAAGACAAATCCATGTGAAGTGTCTTAAGACAGAGGGAAGAAGAATACTAGAAGGGAAATGAAAACAGGCTGCAGGACAATGATCAAGAATCAAATCTCAGGCTCATATCCTAACATGCTAGGTTCAGAGAAAAGCAAACCGGTTGTGCCATTAGAGACACATGCCATATGGCAATGAGGGGAGATACAATTTCTTTAGATGTTCCCCACAGCATCCTAGAGCAGCACTGTCCAGTTCTCACAGCTCTGTGTCACACTCCTGGCAGGTATACCAGATATTTAAAATGAGACATGTGGAGCATGTCTGGGGCTTCAGAATAAAGAAATAGTCCTAGAGGGATTACTCCAGAGTGTCAACTGATTTGAGGCTGCTTGAAGCATTGGAGTTGAAACTGCTTATCATTCTTTGAGGATACAGCCTCTTGGGTATCTGGGATACAACCATTTTCTGCCCTAAATTAATATCAAATGAGGGGCAGTCTGCTCTTCCGGTATACAGCTGCTCAGTACAAAGCTTGGGCTTTCTGTCAGCAGAAGCCTCCCACTGGGAAACCAACCTAAAGTAGCAGGAAACAGATAACAACCCTGAGGGCAGTGGAGATAACCAACCGAAAAAAACAAAAACAGTGCTAGGATAAGGAGTGTTTATGGTTACTTTGGAGCCCTGGTGGCACAGTGGTTAAGAGCTTAGCTGTTAACCAAAAGGTCTGCAGTTGGAATTCACCAGCCGCTCCTTGGAAACCCTATGGGGCAGTTCTACTCTGACCTACAGGGTCACTATGAGTCAGAATCGACTTGATGGCAGTGGGTTTTTTTGATTACTTTGGGAATACAGGTATTTAGTATCCATAATATTAGACACAACACAAAACCCCAACTCAATCATCAAAGAATCTTAGAGTTAGAAAGGATCTTCCAGGTCTTCTGTTCTGACCTCCTATTCAATAGGGAAAGCTTGTTGTTTGTGTGGGGTGGTTTATCTGTGTCTTTCCAGGAACAGTTAATGATATCCGATTGATTGTGAAGTAGAAAAGAAAAGAACCTTGCCCTTCATATCCTGGAATGGCTTATCTGCCAATCAAAGGCTATTTGTTTCATACCTTTTTCTATCTAGATCAGCCCAGCCAATCAGAAAGACCACCCTGGGTGGCTGCCATGTTGCCTGGTAATCAAGCCCTTCTGTAGTCTCACCTGAACGCCCTCTCCTGTGAGAGCTGAGCAAGATTGGATCTGCCAGACTCGGTCACGGATGGTGTGCAGGTTCAATCCTTCCGCAATTTCAGAGGCAGGGGCTGCCGTGAGCAAATCCTGCTTATTAGCAAAGACGAGCACTGGCACACAACTCAGTTTTTCTTCCTCCAGTAATTCAGCTAGCTCCTGGATCATTTTGGGGAGGGAAAGCGAGGGAAGGATGAAAATCTGTGATATTTAACCATGTATCTCTAATTAGAAAAAACAAAACAGTTAAGCTGATCAACTAGCAACTTTCAAGAGCAGTGGAAGAATCCCCTGGCAGACTCCTGGGCCCATCCTAGAGATGTTGACTTTGGAAAGTCTGAGCTGGGGCCCAAGTATCTGCCTTTTTAACCAGCTCCCCAGGTAATTCTGCTTTAGGTGATTCGCTAATCATACTTTGAGAAACCCTGTTCAAGGAAGAATACAAGTAGTAGTTAGAGATTCAATACTTACTAAAGGTTATTATCTGTAAATAACCTTCTCTCTACAGATATATGTATATAAAGAGTCCCTGGATGGTGCAAATGGTTAAGCACTGGACTACTAATCAAAAGGTTGGCAGTTCACACCCACCCAGAGGCGCCCTGGAAGTCAGGCCTGGTGATCTGCTTCTGAAAGGTCACAGCCTTGAAAATCCTATGCAGCAGTTCTACTCTGCACACATGGGGTTGCTATAAGTTGGAATCAACTTGACGGCAACTGGCAACAACATATGCATGTGTGTGTACACACACACGTATATATACACTGAATTTAAACTGAAAATGACTATTGCTTTAGAGCTATGATTCCATTTCATCAATCTCTACCTGCAAGATATTTATGCACATGCATTACACTTCACCAAACTCACATCCTAAAATAACTGTATTAGTTCATCTGGCAAGGTCCCTGATTTTTAGGTTATGGGTTGGGGTCTAAATTCTATGTTGAATCTGTCTGCAATAAGTACAGGAAACAGTATGTTGTTGTTGTTAGGTGCCATCGAGTTGGTTCCGACTCATAGTGACCCTATGTACAACAGAACACAACACTGCCTGGTCCTGTATCATCCTCACAATCATTGGGATGCTTGCGCCCAATGTTGCAGCCACTGTGTCAATCCATCTTGTTGAGGGTCTTCCTTGTTTTCATTAGCGCTTTACTTTACCAAGCATGATGTCCTTCTCCAGGGACTGATCCCTCCTGATAACACGTCCAAAGTATGTGAGACGTAGTCTCCCCATCCTTGCTTCTAAGGAGCATTCTGGCTGTATGTCTTCCAAGACAGGTTTGTTTGTTTTTCTGGCAGTCCATGGTATATTCAATATTCAACACCACAATTCAAAGGTGTCAATTCTTCTTCCATCTTCCTTATTCATTGTCCAGCTTTCGCATGCATATGAGGCTATTGAAAACACCATGGCTTGGGTCAGGCACACCTTAGTCTTCAAGGTGACATCTTTGCTTTTCAACACTTTAAAGAGGTCTTTTGCAGCAGACTTGCCCAATGCAATGCATCTTTTGATTTCTTGACTGCTGCTTCCATGGGTGTTGATTGTGGATCCAAGTAAAATGAAATCCTTGACAATTTCAATCTTTTCTTCATTTATTATGATGTTGCTTATTGGTCCAGTTGTGAGGATTTTTGTTTTCTTTATGTTGAGGTATAATCCATACTGAAGGCTGTGGTCTCTGTTCTTCATCAGGAAGTTCTTAAAGTCCTCTTCACTCTCAGCAAGCAAGGTTGTGTCATCTGCACATCTCAGGTTGTTAATGAGTCTTCCTCTAATCCTGATGCCCCGTTCTTCTTCATATAGTCCAGCTTCTCGGATTATTTGTTCAGCATATAGATTGAATATATGAAAGGATACAACCCTGACACACACTTTTCCTGACTTTAAACCAAGCAATATCCCCTTGTTCTATTCGAACGACTGCCTCTTGATCTATGTACAGGTTCCTCATGAGCACAATTAAGTGTTCTGGAATTCCCATTCTTCACAATGTTATCCATTATTTCTTATGATTCACACAGTCAAATACCTTTCCATAGTCAATAAAACACAGATAAACATCTTTCTGGTATTCTCTGCTTTCAGCCAGGATCCATCTGACATCAGCAATGATATTCCTTGTTCCACGTCCTCTTCTGAACCTGGCTTGAATTTCTGACAGTTCTCTGTTGATATACTGCTGCAGCCACTTTTGAATGATCTTCGGCAAAATTTTACTTGCGTGTGATATTAATGATATTGTTTGATAATTTCTGCACTCGGTTGGATCACCTTTCTTGGGAATAGGCATAAATATAGATCTCCTCCAGCTGGTTGGCCAGGTAGCTGTCTTCCAAATTTCTTGGCATAGATGAGTGAGCACTTCAGTGCTGCATCCATTTGTTGAAACATCTCAACAACTGGTATTCCATCAATTCCTGGAGACTTGGTTTTTTGCCAATGATTTCAGTGAAGCTTGGACCTCTTCCTTCAGTACCATTGGTTCCTGATCATATACTACCTTCTGAAATGGTTGAATGTCTACCAATTCTTTTTGATATAGTAACTTTGTGTATTTCTTCCATCTTCTTTTAATGCTTCCTGTGTTATTTTTTTGCTGTAGAATCCATCAATATTGCAACTCAAGGCTTGAATTTTTTCTTCAGTTCTTTCAGCTTGAGAAATGCCGAACGTGTTCTCTCCTTTTGCTTTTCTACCTCCAGGTCTTTGCACATGTCATTATAATACTTTACTTTGTCTTCTCAAGCCATCATTTGAAATCTTCTGTTCAGCTCTTTTACTTCATCATCTCTTCCTTTCGCTTTAACTACTTGATGTTCAACAGCAAGTTTCAGAGTCTCTTCTGACATCCATTTTGGTCTTTTCTTTCTTACTTACTTACCTAAATGACAAGCCCCACCTCTTCCTCGTTAAACTCACATTTTAGCTACTTAAAACATATGGGCTCTCAAAGAGAACTGGATGGTTCAAGAGGCAGGTGATGACATGTGACACCCTTCACATTCAAGTTCATGTTTAACATTGGCTCACGGAGTGATGATTCAGGAATCCTCAGGGTATGGAAGGGAGATAGGCTGTCTCCCGGAGTCTGGAGAGTTTTCAATCTAATTTCCAGGAAAAAGGAACATAAACATGGTGACTGCTACCTTGGAAGGTCACCTGTGGTAGTTTGGGACACAAACCAAGGACTCCACAGTGAGATTTAAGCACTTTTCTCCAAAGAGGTCCACTCTAATTCTTGCTTCTTCTATCAGTGTACCAAGTCTGGGTAAAATGGTCTATGCCCATTGCTTCTCTACTTAATAATCGTGTACAACAATCATATAGTGGAATCATGTTGACATGCACCCTGTATTTGAGACCATATTTGGGTTCAAGCTATACCTTATCTCCTGGCTTGAAAACAAGAGCAGCTTAGTCTTGGCTTGTACATTTCTTCCCATCCCTTTGAGTTTGTACACCTTGATCAATTAACTTTGTATTGAAAAATGTAAGTAGAAATGATAAGTGAATTGTTCCTGGGGATTCATTTCTAGGTAGCCTGGGGAAAAAAAAAAAAACCTGAAGAGCTTTTAGGCATGAGGCTAAGTTCCATTTGCTTATGTCTTGATAATTTAATTTGATTAAAGTTAAAAAGCTTTAATTAAAAAAAAAAAAGTTTCATGGACTCTCAACTAATTTCCTTTTAGGCAACTGGTATTTTTGACAACTTGCCAGAATGACTATCTTGTCTGAACTGCTAAGGCTAAACAAAAAATAGCCCCCTCACTCTCGCATATTTACAAGGCAGATTAACGAATACCCAGTTATTTGGGAAATATCTTGACAGAAGAATTATTTACCTGACCCGTCTCTTCGAATCTTTTTCTGTCTGCACTGTCAATTACATATATCTGTAAAGGAAAAGAAGGAGGTTACTTCAATAAGCAGATATGAAAAAACATATGGCTACTTCCACCAAAGGAGCAGCAGGTAATCTCAAATCAGCAAATTTCAGATTAACACGGAGTATAGAAATTGAGCTGGCAACTCTTATCTATGGAATAAACAAATTAATTAATTAATTGGGGATGTCTAAAAAATACCTCTAACAACACTCCAAAGACTATGAAGTCAGAACAGTCAAGGTGGGATAAAAATAGCTACTTTTTTTTTTTTTAATTTTGCTTTAAGTGAAAGTTTACAATTCAAGTTAGTCTCTCATATAAAAATTTATACATACTTTGTTATGTGACCCTAGTTGCTCTCCCTATACTGTGATAGCACACTCCTCCTTTCCACCCCAGATTTCCCACGTCCACTCAACCAGCTCCTGATCCTCTCTGCCTTCTCATCTCACCTCCAGACAGAAGCTGCCCATTTAGTCTCATGTATCTACTTGAGCTAAGAAGCACACTCTTCATGAGTATCCTTTTACGTGCCATAGTCCAGTCTGATCTTTGTCTGAAGAGTTGGCCTCAGGAATGGTTTCAGTTTTGGGCTAACCGAGAGCCCAGGGGCCATGTCTTCTGGGGTCCCTCCAGTCTCAAACCATTAAGTCTGGTCTTTTTACAAGAATTTGAGTTCTGCACCCCACT